GTTAACGTGATAACGTAAACAACCTACCAGAATGCCAAAAACCAGCATTTCTGATGTTGAGAAAGTCTAGGTTTTCCCCGGAAGCATACCCCCCGACCCTCTACTTTAATTATGCACAAAAAACCAATTCTACCCCACTAAAATGTTTAAAAAAAAACATACCAGCTCGAACGTATCATTGCGAAAAAATAATCTCTCCTACCATAATAAAAACCAGAATGTTTCCTGCCGCTGATGGAACTTAAGCTATCACCACACAACTACTGTAGCAGTTTTATTTGGTTACTCAGGTAACGAGCTAAGTGTTTAGTGTTACCTATTGTATTGCGTAGCAATGATGTTTGAGTAGTGTAGGGGGTGTCGTATTGTAAGTGTGCTGTGCATTGTTAAAGCAAGTAATGATGACTTTTGAGACCGTCGTAGTATTAAAGTGATTTGCCGGTCATTCAGTCCCCGGGAAAGGCATAGACCGTTTTAAAGTAAAAGAGCTAAAACAATCTGGCATTAGGGCTCACTGTTCCACCACTTATCATACATTTGCCCGCCATAATTTTACAAACAACATGGCCGTCCTCACTTGGTATACCCTCCAATACAGTAAATAGTTTGTATATAAATAACTAAGTTTACTAGCTTTTGAAGCACCAAAATTGAAGTTTCTCTTGAGGTTCTCATTGTTGATCACAGATCCCTTTGCAACGTCAGCTATATTTACCATTTCTGTTCTCTACTTATGGCCATTTAAAACTTCTATTTGATTTAAGTTCAGCAGTCATAATTTATTTTTTTCTTTTTCTTTTTTTCTCTTTATTAGGGGGGGGGGAGGTCATGTTAATTATTTTGGGATACAAGGGGGGCCCCCCAAAACAATTTCTGATGAAGAGGGGGGGGGTCATCATATTCTACAGGAGCTTCCCATCAAATCCATAAAAAATGAAAGGACCCTTAGTTCTTCCTGTTTTCCTGAATCGTTAATGCATTGTTTGACAAAATTAAAACAAAGCAGGTGATATTTCATTATTTAGTTACATATACAGCTTCAGATAGACAAAAACCCTCGCTAATCAGGCGAAAAAAGCGTTAGTCAGCGCACTTTAACTCAGACCCTAAAATTATATCTCTGGATAATAACTCATTAATCATGTATAGCACGTGTTCTTATAAGAAGTCTAATCAATTCGTCCAGACATTGCCCCTGAGCTCAATTTTCAGCTCTATTACGAGCGAACAAACATTTCCAGAAAAACTCAACAAACGTGTTAATTGCCCTACTAAATGAGGTGGCACTGAGATCTATAAACTTTCCCTCTCTACTCTACCACCCCCGGCAGGTGCTGTACGTTTAGTTGCTTTCTATCCCTATGACATTATCCTATTTATGTCAATTAAGGTGGCTGGATGGGGTTTTTCAGGGGGGAAAAATCTACCAGGTTTGAGAATTAACTACGTTGCCATTAACAAAGATAAGGAAAAATGACCACCACAGCTGTATTAGATAAAGATGAAAATTTGTTACGATCAATGTTACAATGGCATTGGAGATTGTCATAACAACAAAATTACGTCATTACATAGTTAACTTGCAGCCATATTTCTCGACACTGTAAAGTTTTTTTTCCCCAAAAATTGTTTAAGGGAGCTTTTTTCTTCGATAGCTGCTTCAATGTTTGTGAAGTTTGAGCAAATTCAGTGAGAGCGCTATCGAGGGGATGAAGTTTTTATGGTAAGAAATTCAGCAAAAAACAGCCGACAATCTGGACGTTTGGCCGTTTAATCTTTAGAAAACAAAAATGCAATTTTACCTCATAGTAGTTTCATTCTTTGTAACAGCTTTCAGTACTCATGCTCCTCTACTCAACAGCTGGGCAGCAACCTCACTGTTTGAACGTGTTTGCGGTTCAGACGTTACACATGTAGTGCTAATGATGTGCCGTGCACTGAGGACATGATGGTGCATATTTCACTGTTTGTGTCGCTCATTTCACCATGACCACTATCATCATCACCTTTAATTTATCATTTAGCATGGCATGCCTTTTGCCTGCAAACCAATCAAAAAAAATTTAATATATTAAACATAATAATATACAATGTAAATTATAAAAGCTAAGTTAACTCAAACTGCAGGTAAGGTGGATAATGCCATCCTCCGCATAAACCACTATCCACTGGATGACGCAATTGGTTTTGTAACACTTGTCCACTAGATAGTAATTAACCCACTGCAATAGCGGATCCAGGGGAGAGGCTCCCCCCCCCCCTTAATTTTAGACCAAACTGAGACCTGAAGGGCCGAATAATAATAATAATATTCATTTCAAGGGTTATCAAATCAGAGATATATGTAACACTTTTACTCCTTTTTTAAGAAAATAATTTCACAGTAAGTAAAACTTTCTTTATTAATGTCAAAGTTTAGTCTTCCACATAACTTTTTTTAACTTGGTAGGTTTCATAATTTAATTTTTTTGCTTTTATTTTACAGTACTACTTTAGCTCTTTTGAGTTGTCAGTCTATTATACATTTTGCTGTTATTATTTTTTTTTGTTTTGAGGACGACAAGTTTATTAGTGTTACAACAGCTATTATGTGTCACCCTCTTTGAATAGAATTTTTTACTGAACAGAGCACCTCTTGGTTGAGGATCAGTTTAGCCCCTGGGTTCAGCATTGTTATAAAATCATGTGTGAAGTATCTCATTTAAACTGAGGATGCATTTCAAATACCAATTTCTGTTACTCTTTTCTACTGATTCAAAACAATCTTGTTCTTGATAAAAAGTGACATTTTTATGTGGGGGACAAAAAGGTGATGAAATAGATCCAGCCAACAGGAACAAAAGCTAAAGAAACACATATTGTATGGGGGAATGGACAGAAAATCTTGTTCCCTTTTTAATATCATCAATGCACTTCCACTTGGGAGGATTAAGGCAAATTTCAAGATACTAACATGAATGACTGAGCTATGGTGATTCTTGAATGAAAAGAGTAATTACCCAAAACCTTCAAGCCTGGAAACTGGCAGTTTTTCTTACCCAGCCTTTTTACTTTTTACAGCAACACTACAGTCAGCGGTCAGGCAAGATGGCAGACATGGTACCCGACCCTTAATAATTTATAATCATTTATTAAAAACCTAAGTACGGTTGCCCTATCTTTTTAGCCCTCAGTGGTTATTATGGGCAGCTTGTACTCTCTCCATATTTATAGTAATTTTTCTGTATCATATAAGATAATCAATGTAGTTGTTGTTATTCTAAGGTGGTTTTAAGTCCCTTTACCTCTGAAAATGAATATGGTCAACATTCTCTTAAGAACACCTCTATGATATCTAGAGCTCTGCAAATAAATGAGTTGGTAACATAACCTTTCTCCAGTCGATTTCCTTGGATCTCCATAAGACAGGTACCTGTCTCAGAGAGAGTTAACTGTGATAATGAACACAAGACAGGCTATATATATAGCCATCCTGGCTGAACATTTAGCTCAGCCAATAAAAGAGTTATCACATGGTCAAGAAAACATTTTTCTTATAGGACAAAGATAGGTACCTTGATCTTCCTAGATAAGTCTAGGAAGATTGAAGGACCCGGGCTTGGAGTTAGCAAACCAGAACACAGGATTTGCTACAGCTTGCCAACTAGCTTGCAAAAGCAGAATATACATGTACTTATGTAACAATTACTGAATGAAGATGAGTATCTTGTGAAGAATTATGGAGATCGGCCATACGGCCTACGGCTTCGACGGATAACACCCTCCGAGATCTCTATAATTCTTCATATGATACGAAAGCCGAATTCAATAATTGTTTTATTATTCATTCAAAATAATTCCTAGTTTAAAAACACAGCTAAAACATGCTTACCTCCATCAATCCATCAATTGATAGTGCATGTTTAGGGTTTGTTCAGCTCTGCAAATATTCTCCAAATAGGAGATGTCGCCCTTCGAGTTGTCTTCTTGCTGTTTTTGCCATGTTTTTAGCTATTATTTTGCTTAGTTCTTACTCTTGAAACGAGTGAACTGTCTGCCATTTTCGTTCTCACAACCAAAACAACTCAACCTCATCCCCAGGTCTTCTCGGTTAACAGTGCATTAACCTGCAAAAAAGCTGCACTTTTGATGTCAATGGTTCATTAAATGCAAAATTCTTCCAAATTTGGTCATCAATAGCTGGTTATGGTGAATTATGCATGTGCTTTTAGCCAATCAGAATCAGGGAAATATTTTGAATGAACAATTTAAAAATTATTAAACTATTAGTTTAACTTGCTAAGAAACTTCTCCACGTTGTCATGGAATTCATCACTATTCTTCAAATAGCAGGCATGCCCAGCATCCTTTATCACATGGATCATATGTCCACGGATATTATTTAGCCTTTGCAAGGACGAAAGTCCCAATGTTTCGTCGTTTTCTCCATACACAATAAGAGTTGGTAACTCAAGGTTTTCATAATCATCTTTAGTGTATTTCTCTGTGCCTACTGGAGCTACAGGGACGTATCCCCGCAGATTTCGGCCTTTTTCACCTTGAAAAATAAAAGGCAACGAGTATGAACCGCTCATAGAAGGCGACACGATCACAGGCCGTTCAATATGAAGCTTCTCGATGACCTCATTCAGAAACTTTGCTCGTTCTTCAGATGTCTTCGGGATATTTGCATAATCCTTCGATTTCACGTAACCAGGCAGGTCTAGAGCCACCACGTTGTAATTTTTGGCTCGTAGAAACTTTAAAGTACCGAGATCATCCCAGGTTTGGGAAGAGAAAGCTTGACCATGAAGCAACAAGACTGTGAAGCGTCCACCATTTTCGGGAGTTGCTCTTCGATAGTAAATTCTGTTTGCTTCTCCTTCTAATTCGAGGTACCCTCCGGCTGGGAACTCCATGATATTTCCGGTTGGCGAAAGGAGATAGTAAAGTAAAAGTATACCTAACGCTAGAGATATACCAATAATTACTCTCCAATTGATTGTGAAAGGAGAAATGCGACCGACTTTCATGTAATCTGCAGTTTTTGCAGCTATAGGTGCGACAAAAACACTGGACATAGTCACTCGAGCGTGGTTTCCCATGGACCTTTGCCGCACTTCCCTCTGTGTTTTAACGAGAAAAGCCTGCGGACGAGGTGGGAGGCGCGATTTGATTGGCCAACAAACTGTTTTTCAGTTTTCAATTCTTCGTGAAAATTAGATTAATTACATGAATGTTTTACAAATCTTTAAAATAACCTTGGTTACAATTAAAGTCCAATAAATGGGAAGCTGTTATGCAAAAAACAAAAAACAAAAACAAATCCAGATCCAGACGGGAAGAGAGCCTGTATAGCAAAAAGAAAAATATAGGCAAAGTTTCCCTGTTTAAGTCACAGTCCAATCCAGGTAAGGTCAGAGAAGATGACAAAATTTTAATTTTTTCCGGTACTGCCCTTGTGCAGCCCCCGAGCCTACCCCGGAACCACAACTCCCCCCTCCCCCCTCCCCGCCGCCTAGCCTGCGTGGCAGGCGTTCGAAAGGGAAGGGGAAGGGACCTCTCGGGCTGGATGTATTTACAAACAACATGGCGAATTTGGCACTCAGTGTTACGGTTAAATGGAAATTTGTCATCGCTTTAGTTGTTGTTCTAGGGATGGCTGTCTTGTTTTTGTATTCCTCTTTTTGGAAGAATTGGACATCTTCGGCTGAAATTCCCGAGAATGCCGAAAGCATTCACACAAAAGACGAAAACGTGCAGCAGAAATATCTGGATTGGAACGGCGTCGACAAAGGGATATTTTATCGGAAGATTGTTCCCGAAAACTCTAAATTTCCGGTTTTGTTCTTGCATGGGGCAAGGTTTACGTCTAAAGATTGGCAGGAAATTGGAACATTGAAGGCACTGAGCTCTCAGGGGTACACAGTAGTCGCGGTGGATTTGCCAAAACATGGCGATTCTGAAAAAGTTAAAGAACCTTCTGACGATAATGGGAGAATTGAGTTTTTAGGACAGTTAATAAAGAGGCTAGAGTTAGAAAGGCCAGTACTTGTTGCTCCATCTATGAGTGGGTCGTATGCATTGCCTTTTGTAATGAACGAAAAAGACAAAGAAGAAGTACGTGGCTTTGTTCCAATTGCCCCCGCTGCAGTTGCAAAATACACTGATGAAGATCTAAAGGGACTTAAACTTCCCACTTTGATAGTATACGGGGAGAAAGACATTACCTTTACGCAGTATGTGGATAAAATGAAAGAGATCCCAGGTAGTGAAGTTTTCATGATGAAAGATGCTAGTCACCCTTGTTACCTTGACAACCCTGCAGAATTTCATAAAAGAGTGGTGGAGTTCCTTGACAAGTTACTGGAAAAATGAATGTTACCTTGACTAAGCTGCATAACAGGCACTTTATGAGCCAAGAAAGGCGAACGTGGCATTTCGCGGGAGGCGCGAGTCATTAAGCACCTGTTATACAGGCTATATCTTGACTACTTAGCCTGTGCAGAGAATGAAATTAGTCCTTTTGTGAGTGAGGTTTTTGGGACATAGCCTCATTCAATACACAACTCTATATAAAACAGTGACACAGGCCATTGACGACTTTGAAGTCCAAGGGCAGACGTCAAAACTTGCCACGATGTCCTCAGCATAGTTACTTATTTGCTAGTACTTCAACTTCATGTACAATAATGGTAAGGGCTCCTTTTCAGGAAACCAGTGTAGTATTTCGCAATGAGGGGAGTTATTGGTTTCATGAAACAATGTATAAATATGCCCCTAACCGTAATAATAAACACTAAATGTTATCAGCCTCAGGCTTTGGCCTCAGTTGGTAACACTTACCTTAACCTAGATTATTTGCCTGGGTACACTAAAGGGATAGAGGTGAGCCGCTGTGGCCTTGATCCAATTTAAGACAAGAATTGCTCATTTTACTACCCGTTAAAGGACGAGGGAACTTATTTTATGACACTGATTCATTCCATACAGAATTAAGTCATCTTTCATGTGAATTTTTGGAAAGAAATTGTTTAACCACACATGTAGAATACCTGCTCATCACTAGCCTTCACACTCTTGAAAAGGCTTCTTTTCCAAGAAGGTGCCATGATCTAGATGCTAAATAGTGAAATTGTTGGCCTGCAATAACAGCTGTAGTCTCTCCTTTCTCCTTGCTGCTATGGACCTTTCATAGGAGAGATAGTGATTCAGCCCCCAAAAATTCCACACTGAAGATGTGAATCAATGTTTACATCATTAATCTGGTAGTCATGGGGTTCCAGATATAAAATAATTTAATTGAGTTTGTTTCTCCTGGTGTATTATTGTAAAGCTTTGAGTTCTTCTGCCATAGAGCAGAAGCAAAACCTAAAGCTTCTGGTAAAGAAGAAAGGGGAGAGAGCATCAGCCAGGGGCACCCAACTCATAGAGGTGGTAATTATTGGGTTTGATCATCATAATAAATTAACTGATTGCGTTTGGAAGGCTAAGGCCCAGTTCAAACGTAGATTCTTTCATGTACCAAACTAATCCCTTCGATCTGATTTGCATTGACCCATGAATTTAGTTTGAGTGGCCCATGTGGGAATTTCGACTATGGAGCGACTTCGTTTCATATGTCAAACTTTGCAAGTGCCAAATCTAATGCATAAATTACTTTGATAATGGTAAATTATTATTATTATTATTATTATTATTATTATTATTATTATTATTATTATTATTATTATT